AGCAGTACTTTCAGCCATGTCTTATAAGCCAATTCAGCTGAAACGAACAAGCTATAGGATAAAATGGGAAGGCCCACAGGTTGCTTTGAGATTGGTGTATGCCACGTGCAAGCAAAGGAGGGAGGTCTCTTTAGAAGAAGGAAGGGGAGAGTCGCTCAGAATTTGCCTCCCCCCTGGATGCCTCCTCCATAGACCATAGTAGTCCATGCCCACCGCGTCAACGCACGATGAAAGCGAGCCCCATTCTTCTCAGGTTCTGAAGGCAGAAGCTTTGGAATTGGATCTCCGTGCAAGCCTGATCAGTCGTCCAACAGGTTAGTGATCGATTCTGCCACTGATTTCTCTCCATCCATGGCAAAAGTACTTCCGTACTGCCTTGAGCTAGTAACCTCTGCTTTGCTGATCCGTGATTAAGCATGTTATAGATGGGTCTCTGTGTTAGTGTCTGTAACAAAACAAATTCGGAGTAGATGACTTGGGATCTAACCCGGCCAAATAGGACCGTATGGAACGTAGATACTCCATGATGTTGGTTGAATTTACACCACACGTGGTTTTTTTAAGGTTTGTATAATTAATTTGTTTCCACTTCCTGCTTCTATGTTGCAAAAGGCTAGCATAAGCTTGAAATAAACGAGGCCTAAATTTGAAAATTTCCTGCTATTTCTTATTATTTGCACTTAAATAGATTTCTCTAAACACACACGGATTACAATTATTAGCATTTCCTTGCTTCATGCTCTCTGCCCTTGGTTATACTACTTTTTGAGTGGGAGGCCCGAGATGGGATGGAGATTTCCCCTCCTGTCACAGGTTGCTACAAAGCTGTGAATGGAACATCTTATCTGTTGTTATGAATGAAAGAAGGCATGATCGAATCATTAAGCTTAGAAAAGTAAGTACTAAGCTGTTGTTAGCAGCTACACTAGAATAAAATAAAAATTTTACCGTGTTCTACTAGAACAACATGCGAGTAGGAGATCATAGATCGTTACCACTTGACGCAGCGCAACAAAAGAAGAGTTGAAGCAGCCTAATCCAACATCGTGCGCGTCAATGTGTCGGCCTCCATGGCGCCGGTGCCACAGCCGCAGCACGAGATGGAGTACCGAGCGATGCATGCGGCCGTGCGGGTGGTGTCTACTCTGACCTAATGAAGATGTTCTTGACTAGCTAGCTAGCTAGCTATTCTCTCGTAGCATGCACCATCGATTGGTTACAAACTGTAGGAATCCTGAAATCAGTCCAAACCAAACCGTTTGTGTGCTCAAACCGCTTTGCCCCATCCAAACAAGACCCAAAGGTAAAACCAAACCACGTAACCCGGTTTCAATCCAAACCATTCCCAGCTTTACGGTGCTCTCACATGGGCTAGATTTTATGAAACATAAGCATTACTTATATTGTTGAATACAAGTAACTAATAAAAAGTACGTATATTGAATTGTATGTTTTTCTCTTTGTTCCTTTTCCAACGCAATTTACGTAATAGATATTCCGTAGTCTCTGTCTAGTTATGATAAACTTAATTATAATTTATATGTTTTTTCATTCATATCCATAATTTTTTCTATTTTCTTGGTACCTCTATGTATCTTCAATATGCATTTAGTTGACACCTTAGCTTAAACTATGACGACTCTTGTTGTAGCCCATATCTTATGATGTCATGAATCTAAATTATTGATTGGTAAGATTTTTTCCCCTCAAATTAAATCACAGCTCTTGTTCTTATTATATCTTTTATTAGCACTCATTTTTTAACTTCATAAAAATAAGGACCTTATCCTTGTGCTTATTATATCTTTTGTTAACACTGATTTTTTTTACATTATAAAATAAGGACATTAAGTCATAGACTACACTCTTAAGTACCACAATAGCATAAATACTTATTTAAAACCCGCAGCACTTGCTTAAGGTCAGTGGTAGACCTTGAAAGAAGATCTTGGATGCGTAGTAGTGATGATCTTAAGAGAATATTAATATTTAAGTCTTATAATGACTATTACTCCAAAGAAATCTCAAAGCCATGAAGATGTTTGAATTTTCTAATCAAAGAGTTATATGTGCAATAACGATTGTATTGTCAATATAGACATGCTAAACGTTTCAGTTAAAATGTATAAACACTACTAAAAAATAATTTTGCGAGACACTGCCCAAATATTAACGGAGGTGGTCACAAAATCCAACTGCCTCGTAAAATGCCTGAGGATTTTCGGAGGCAGACGCTTTCATTTATGGAGGCGGTCATAATTAACCGTCTTGCAAAATGCATTTACAGATGCGGACATTTTATTTCCAGAGACGGTCAGGATTGTCCATCTCGTAAAATCGATTTACGGATGTGGTAAAAAATGACCGTCTCCTGGAATCAATTTACGGTGGCCCGTCTCCGAAAATGGAGGCCGACGGACCTCCTCTTATAAGGCCCGCCTCTGTTAATCGTGGCCGAGGGCTATCTGCACCTCAATGATAGAGGTCCATGGACCATAGGTACACACACATGTATCTCTACTACCTGGCCAGGGCTAATCTGCATATCAACTCGACACGTACTTCTCTCAGCGTCCACGACGAAAGCCATAAGATCCCGTCCCTTGGACTGGAGGCGCGCAGCAGCTAGCAGTCTCAGCCGCGCAGCAGCTAGCAGTCTCAGCCTGCGTACGTAGAGGGCGGTGGAGGGGACTGTGGAGCGGCGGCGTGGGGAGGGCTGTGGGCGAGGAGGTGGCGACGACGCGGCCGGAAGCCGGGTGTGGGGGAAGGTGGCAGGCACGGTGGGATAGGGACGAAGGATTCACTTGTATGCGGCCTGACCAGGCTCGACGCATGCATTCGACGAGTGATTGGTTGGCTGCAGCACCGCTAGCCAGGCTCCGCGCGTGCAACTGAAGGGCGATTGGTTGCTTGCATCTCCGTCTGGCTCGTGCCTTCGCGTGCAGAAATCAGCACTCAACCTGGCTCCCGGGAAACGAAACTGGATCTCGTTTCTCCGGAGCCTCGCTCGCTCGCAGCTGGCCCGTGAAAGCCTGTCTCCCGAGAGCCGAGCCGGCCGGTACCCAGAAGAGAACCAAACACGCCCTAGGTTTCTGCAACGGAGGGGCAATGATTCTCAGCTGGCTGGAACAAGCCTGAGACAAGACAACCAGAACCGTTCGTTCAAACTCTGCAACTAATAGTAAGATGCCTTGTGGTTTCCAAATCAGCATAAATCATGCTTCAAGTGCCCTCTTTTGGTACTCCATCCGGCTTTTGTAGTACATAATATTTGTAAAATGTATTTAGATATAATGTATATCTATATCCATGAATGATGTGAACAATATTTTTGTCTCCGAAGATATTTACATGTGTGTAATTTAGATGCAAATAAAGGGATTACTTTGAGCTATTTTATTTAAAACGACAAGTAGTTTTTTTTCGAAAACAGAACATAATTAATGGCTATCATTATCACTGATGATTACTAGATTATATGAAATTGATGTCAAGATGTTACTGATTTTCTGTGATAATTTCTTTGATTTATTTTTCCCTAGTATGCCTGTTAAGGATTAAATTTGAGCCTCCGTTGGGGTCATCTAATTTGTAACATAAAGTGTGGTAATGGCTATCATTACCACACTTTCTCTTGGGCTTGGAATCTTCAGCTTCAATATATGTGCAATTATGACATCACCCTCTAGTCTTCTCTGAGATTCAACCAGTCACATAGTTTTGAGGCGTGCAGCCAGTGTCTTTTGGGCTCTTTGCCCCTCTCTGTATATATGACTCTTTCTTTTTAATTGAAAGGGCCACTTGCGTTTAGAAAAGAGAGAGATTCAACCAGTCACCTGACAGAATTTGATTGTTTTCTCATGTGCATGGATCTCAAAGAATATTTGAGGTTCATAGTAATATGTAGGTTCATAGTAATATGTATGCACATAGTTTTGAGGTTTATTAATTATTTCTCTGTTTGCTATGTGTACTAATGTACCAATTTTCCGTGGCAGCGAGGCCATATTCGCTTCTTTTATAATCCATACTTTTCAGCTTGTTTTTTCAGCCGAAATAGTGTTTCGGCTTGTTTTTTCAGCGAAGCGAATGGGGCTTTGGTTAATGCCAGAGTTGTAACTACAGAGTACATATCCCACATGATGTAGCCAAACTCTTGGGGTTGTTTGGCTGATACGTTTTACGGCTGATTCAATAGTGTTCTGTAAGATAGAATAAGCTGAGTACGGTTGATATCTAGGGGCAACCTTAACGTTTGGAAGATACAACGGTTCAAAGATAATGCCACGTCAGAGTGTCTAACTTAGGAAATTTCACTCTAATGTATAGGAAACCATCAAGTATAAACAAGTAAACAATCTTTCCACTGTATCCGTCTCTTGCGGTCTTGCCCAGCACTCTGGCAGGTGGTGCCGGTCTTCTTTGGTTTTCTCTAGAAGAAAATGATTTTTCATGTTAGGAACCTGTTGCCAACTCAAGCTTCGGTGCCAAAATTTTCATGTGTAGCACAGGTGCTGCATTGTATTGCACCTCTGCTGCTTTTCTTTCTCCCTGCGCATACCACCTTAGTAACAAGGTTGAGCTACCGTAAGGTATACTCCATCTGTGAAATATGTTGTTCAAACTTTTTTTTAAGTTCGACTAGGTTTTAGAAAATATTAACAATATTTGTATCGCCAAATAAGTGTATTATAAAAGTATATTCAACGATCTATCTAATGATATTAAACTCTAAATATTAATATTTTCATCTATATATTTAGTCAAAATTAAAAATGTTTGGAAGAGTAACAATTTTTATGGGACGGAGGGAGGGAGTATATAAGGAGAATATATGACAAACAATGATTATTCTGATGCAACACTGGGTAATTAATGTTTAGCAACAGCTGTGGTAAAGACAAACATGCATGGTCTAAATTCTAGGTTTACCTGTTCTCACTCCGTGAATAGTAGTAGCAGGAACTAACTAAATTCATGTACCGGCACAGGAATTCACCATGGTAGATACGCTTGACCAGGAGATGTTGGACGTGAAGTCGGCCGGTGACGGTGAGCTGCAGGTCGGGCCGGGGTTTCCAGCAAGTAGATGTAGCCCAGCGATTGGCAAGCTGGGAATCTGTGATGCTGCAGCAAATCAGGAAGCACCAGTGAAGGTAACATTTCGAGGGATTAGCGACCACAGTACATGTTGTGCGCCAAACATTAAAGGCATTTAATTCATTGTTAGTTTTCCTTCTTTTCCTGGTTGTTGCGAAACGAACCGCTGATCTCATTCGTAGACAGGAACCGAACGGACACGTCCCTTGGACACACCGGTTCGACGCACACCTCACACACTCACACACAATGTACACACACAAACCTACAACTATACACAGTGGTGGATCCAGCAATAAAAACCCCACAGGTTGAACGTGCATGTGCCACTGACTACACATAGATACCGAACGCAGCTAAAAGGTACCCGTAGATCACAAGACTCCGAGTGTGACCGATATGTCACTCGACCATTGTGGCATATTGGCATATAGGGGTTGTTTGGTTGCCGCAGTTGGGGCGGAAAAAAAATGGCCGCCACAAAGTGTGGCGAGATTCCATCCGATTTGCACTACGGTTTTCCGTGGCTGCCTACGTGTATCCACCAACCAAACAGTCACTTCGATATCTGTGGCTGCCAGACTTTGTGGCGTAGCGTGCTGTGGCCGTAAACCAAGCACCCTCGTGTATGTGCGCTTGTGGCTATATATAGGAGATGGGTAAAGACCCTGGTGAACGCCGGTGGTTGGCGCACCACTGAGCGAGCCCTCGTTCGCAAACAGAGATTAATGAAACTACTGATTACATTCCTATTTGTCTGAGTATCTTGCTTCACGATCAAAGCACTCTATTCTAAACACTAGTAACTAATAAATCACAACTGCAGGACGGCGAAATGGCGGAGGATCAACCTCCAGCTGGACTGTCATACACCATCGACGATCAAAGGTCGTCGTTCACTGAATTCATAAAGGATCTACGTTTCATCCTCGCTGATCACCAAGACCATGAGGATATCTGTGATCACCACGTGGACCCAAATATCTCGAGTAGCCGAAAACACCCACTGCTCCCGAAGCCGCATGCTGAACAACCGGTGAGGTGGATTCGCATCAAGCTGCAACTGCAAGTGGTGGAGGGCGAGGAATCGTCATCGGCAACCCTACTCATGAGGGATGACAACGTGGATGTGATCGGCTTCATCAACCAGTCTGGAGTTTGTTACGATTTTGCCGACCCAAAGAGAAGCGCCCGTCGGATCCTCCCACAAGAATACAAGCCAGTACTTCTAGGCTGGGGCAACAGCTACAAAAGCATACTAGGCGTTAGAAAGGAGGAGGAAGTCATGGATATGCTTACGTCCGCGAGGCTGGGCAAGAACTTCGCCACGCACGCTGTGCGCTTGCTGTCGCGCTACCTACATGAGGTGGATGGTATCGAGATGACACCCATGCTGTTACTGGTGGGCCTGAAGTTCATGGTCTTTGAGTCTGCAAAGATGAATCCTGTGCACAATGCCATTGCACGTGGCTGGGACACCGGGACAGGATTCACCAAGCAATTGATGACAGATTACGTGTGGAAATATGCAGAGATGTCAAGGCGTCTGAGGCATTGGAAGAGAGGACACTATGCAGAACGGCGCCCCGACTCGGAGCTACGTTATATCTACCTCGTGCTCAACGGTAATCCCTTTTCTTTGAAGTGTGCATTCAATCCTTTAAAGTATGACCATTTTCAAAATATTATTGCATTTTTTATGATATGATATATCATTGCCACACCGCTGATCCCTGTTTTTTTTGTATTTCTTGTAAAAATTACTACGCACACACTAGTCCGTCAATTTGTGCTAACCATAGACTAAAATGGCTAAGGAACATAAGCATTATTAATTCAACAATAAATTTAAGAACCACATAGTTCGCACACGATAAATTTAAGAACCGACCTTGATATACGGTTAAGATTGATCCTTAAAGGTGGTGGAGCACCGACGTACAAGCGGAGGCTGACCAGCGGGCCCCATGGGCTGACCAGCCCCACCCAGGCTCCTCTCGGCCCGATCTTTGATGATCTGTCCTGGATGGTGGATTGGAGGTCCTCTAAGTCGGTTTCGTCACTGATGATCGTGATTTGCTCTGATGGATAGGTCCACTTTGCCTGTTTTCTGATTAAATCCTCCTGCAGACATAGATTCACCAACACTTGTGGAATTTGTAAGTTAAAACCCCTATGCCTATGTTGGTGATCATATTTATTCAGTTTTTCATGTTATATTGATGGTTTATTTTGAGGGTTAACGACCGTCAACAGTTTGCAATCCTTATCACTAGCTTGTGTTACTTGTACGTACTTGTGCTAGTGTTGTTGTTCTTGTGTAGCTAAGTAGCCTTGCTTAGTTTGTGTAACTAAGTAGTTGTTGCTCTCTAGTTTAGCTTGTGTAGCTTTGCTAGTTGAGTAGTGTTAGTGTGGCTTAGGCTTTGTGCGCTTTGCTAACTAGTATGAGTAGGAGCTCTTGGTGTGTTTTATTGTACTAGTTGCTTAGATTTGTGTGACCTTGCCAACGAGACTTGTGTAGGTGAGCTCTCTCTAGCTCGGCACCTTAGTTGCTAAATTAGGATCTTTGTAAGGTGCTTGTGAACATAGATAGAGCGGTGTAGTCTTGGCTAGACCGATTAGTCTATTTCCGTATTTGTTTCGGTTAGTTGGCGCATAATTAGTTTTAGAAAAGACTATTCACTCCACTAGTCGGCTAATTGATCATATCACCCTTAAAGTAGTTCATCGGCATGCCAAAGGAAGGATCCGTGGTCTTAAGATCGAGAAGAAGACACCAATACAGACACACTAGGCATAACAGGTCCATAATCCATAGGTTTCTTAAGACTAGCATTGTATTGCATACTATGAAACGTATTTATCATAGCCGCATCACAATCCGCCATCATTTTATTGAGTTGTTCTATGGTAACAACAGAAGATGTTTTAATTACGGGTGGTGTTACCTTTGGTTCAGTAGTGGTTCAATGAGCAACCTGATTGACTACCTTGAATTGTTTTGCCACCCCTCCTCGCCGATCTAGCGAACAAATTGCAAGAGCGGCTTGTAGGTTAGTAGCGTTCTACTCCTCTACCATCTTACGGAGATCCTCTAGTAGTTGATCAATCGTCGTAGGATGAATGATATTGTCGGGGTTGAACGGATCCGTGGGATCACCCTCCTTTCTTGTTGTGTTCTTCAGACACGTTGCTTGTACATTAATCTTCTTTTCCCAGCGGAGTCACCTAAAAGTGTGTTGACGTCGATTTGGATCACACACCAGCAAAGATTAGCTTGTCCAAGGTCACACACGACCTATCACGCAACAAGGACGTCCGAGATCAGTAAGACCGACCAGCCGGTTGGTAGAGCCGATTCGATGCCTGTTCTTTGCCTGAAAAGCTCAAGAACACCTCTCAGGAAGATCCGTCAGGGAGGGGCACGTTGAGGTTGTCCTAAGGTTGGCAAGGGCAACCTAGAACGCCATTGAATCTCGTCGAGAGATGCGCCGAACAGCAAGGGTTGGAAAAGCTAGGGTAAATAAAAAGGGTAATAGATGTTTTTTTGATCGATTGGAAGTTGCATCCCTCAACCAGCCATGATCCTCCAATATATAGAGAGGGATAAAAGAATCAAGATGCCCAAGAGGGGGGGTGAATTGGGCTAATTCTAAATTTCTTTGCAATAATTAAACCCTACGGTTAGCCCAATTAGCCCCTTGTGCCTAGAAAGTGTTTCTATTGATCTAACGCACAAAAGTTTAGCAACCTATGTTCCAATCCTACTCTACCATGGCAATTCTATGAGTGTAAATGACAAGAATTGAATTGCTCAAAGTAAAGAGAGAAGGAGGAACGCGCCGATGTTTTGTCGAGGCATCGGAGAGTCGCCACTCCCCACTAGTCCTTGTTGGAGCACCCACGTAAGGGTGTAGCTCCCCCCCTTGATCCAAGCAAGGATCAAGTGCTCTCTCGGTTGATTCTTCGACACTCCATCGCGGTGAATCACCCACAACCGCTCACAACTTGAGTTGGGTCATCCACAAGCTCTCAGATGATCACCAAGCTCCCAATCACCACCAAGTCATCTAGGTGATGGCGATCACCAAGAGTAACAAGCACGAACTCTCACTTGACCACGACAAGCCTAATGAGAAGGGTGGATGCACACTTTGCTACTCTTGCTTTCACTAATGAGGGCTCTCTTTGGGATTCTCAAATCTCAATCACCTCACTAAGACCTTGCTCTTCTTGGCACTCTCAAAGGTGTTTCTCAGCTATTGGAATGAGCAAAAGTACCCCCACACACACGAATGGAGGAAGTATTTATACAGCCGGGCTGAAAAACGAACTGTTATGTGCCTCTCTGCAAGGTGATCGGACGCTCGGTCAAGTTGACCGGATGCTCCGTCGATTCTCCCTGAACTCCAGATGTAAAAAAAAGTGGTGACCGGACGCTGGGCGGTCCCGGTCAAGACTGACTTTAACGTCCCGGTCGTGATTTTCCCTCTCCAGAACCTTACTAGAGTCGACGGGACGGCGGCACCCAGCATCCGGTCGCTTCAACTCAACTCAGCGTCCGGTCGCACTGGATGAAATCACCTTGATCAAATGAACTGACCAGAACTCGAGCCAGCAGATCGGTCACACCGGAACCAGTCCGGTCGTCAAGATGTTGACCCTCCATTCACTTCCAACTCGCGATCATATGTGAATGAAGTTTGCTCCAATTGATCTAAGGACTATTTAGGAGCTACCTAGTGCTAGATTTAGCAAGTGTGCACCACACCTAACCCACTAGACTCACCTAGGTCAAGCTACCCATCCATACCACCCTTAATAGTATGGCCAAAAGAAAAACAAAGTCCTAAACTACTCTAAGTGTCTCTACATCTCCAATTGACACTTAGAACTAGTCCATCCTTAACCCTGTCGTCCATCCTTTGAAAACAAAAATGATTTCCATCGTAGGGGCATGACCACCATGATAGCCCAATCGATCTCCATGACCATGACCTAACTTAATTGCCTCTGCAAAACACACGTTAGTCACAGGTAATCACGTATTGTCATTAATCACCAAACCCAACTAGGGGCCTAGATGCTTTCAATCTCCCCCTTTTTGGTGATTGATGACAATACCAACTCAAGTATGTGAAAGAGTTGAGGTTTTTAACATGCTTGGTTCATATAAGCTTTTAGCAATAAGAACAAAAGAGTTAGGCAAGCTTATATGACCCAAGCAACATAATGTACTCAATAGATATGAAATAAGCATGAGTACAAGTAATAAAGCTCATTTGCATCGGAGTAAAACGCGGAAGCAAAGCAAATGAGCATAACACAAGTGATATGACATATTAATAATTCAAAGTAGAGAGCACACATGTCACATATCACATAAATATCATGATCACGTAGATATCACTATCACATAAAAATAGTTCAATGCATGAAAGTAAACACATGAATGCATAATAGTGTATCACACATAAAAAAATCAAATATGATAGATAGACTCCCCCTAAATGAATCACACCCCCTAAGTCTAACATACTCGATCCCTCTCCCCCTTTGGCGTCAAACACCAAAACCTAAGGGTCGGTCGGTGGGGCTGCAGCGAACGAGTCAGGTGCTGAGGTGCGATGAGCGATCTAGAACTGTGTGCCATCATCATCTGATCCTGAGCTCTGAGTTGTATGACCCTCTATCGCTGGAAGTGATGCTAAAGCGGTCTAGGTCAGATTAGGAACTGGTGCGGCCTGTGACTTTGTATGTATGACTGTAGCAGGCGGTTCTGATGATGCAACTAAGGAAGGGAGCGTCTCTGTCGTGCCTATCACTGGAGCAATGGTGGTAGGTATAGGGGCAAGTAGATCTGACGGTGTAGGGTGCCCTATCAACTCACTGAAAGAAGCACCAAGGCTCCTAGAAACTGAGGTATCTGGCACAAGCAGCGAGGAAGTCTGAGCCAGTGTGAAGCCCGTCTGAAGAGGTGTGAACTGCGGGGCTGGCACTGGCGAAGCAAACCACTGGGACACATGCTCTAGTTTAGCTTGTGTAGCTTTGCTAGTTGAGTAGTGTTAGTGTGGCTTAGGCTTTGTGCGCTTTGCTAACTAGTATGAGTAGGAGCTCTTGGTGTGTTTTATTGTACTAGTTGCTTAGATTTGTGTGACCTTGCCAACGAGACTTGTGTAGGTGAGCTCTCTCTAGCTCGGCACCTTAGTTGCTAAATTAGGATCTTTGTAAGGTGCTTGTGAACATAGATAGAGCGGTGTAGTCTTGGCTAGACCGATTAGTCTATTTCCGTATTTGTTTCGGTTAGTTGGCGCATAATTAGTTTTAGAAAAGACTATTCACTCCACTAGTCGGCTAATTGATCATATCACCCTTAAAGTAGTTCATCGGCATGCCAAAGGAAGGATCCGTGGTCTTAAGATCGAGAAGAAGACACCAATACAGACACACTAGGCATAACAGGTCCATAATCCGTAGGTTTCTTAAGACTAGCATTGTATTGCATACTATGAAACGTATTTATCATAGCCGCATCACAATCCGCCATCATTTTATTGAGTTGTTCTATGGTAACAACAGAAGATGTTTTAATTACGGGTGGTGTTACCTTTGGTTCAGTAGTGGTTCAATGAGCAACCTGATTGACTACCTTGAATTGTTTTGCCACCCCTCCTCGCCGATCTAGCGAACAAATTGCAAGAGCGGCTT